GATGCTGCAGGGATGAGGATGCTGGGGATGAGGATGCTGCAGGGATGAGGATACTGCAGGGAGGAGGATACTGCATGAATGTAGATGCTGCAGGGGTGAGGATGCTGGGGATGAGGATGCTGCAGGGATGAGGATACTGCAGGGAGGAGGATACTGCATGAATGTAGATGCTGCAGGGGTGAGGATGCTGGGGATGAGGATGCTGCAGGGATGAGGATACTGCAGGGAGGAGGATACTGCATGAATGTAGATGCTGCAGGGGTGAGGATGCTGGGGATGAGGATGCTGCAGGGATGAGGATACTGCAGGGAGGAGGATACTGCATGAATGTAGATGCTGCAGGGATGAGGATGCTGGGGATGGGGATGCTGGGGATGAGGATGCTGGGGATGGGGATGCTGGGGATGAGGATGCTGGGGATGAGGATGCTGGGGATGAGGATGCTGGGGATGAGGATGCTGGGGATGAGGATGCTGCAGGGATGAGGATGCTGGGGATGAGGATGCTGGGGATGAGGATGCTGCAGGGATGAGGATGCTGCAGGGATGGGGATGCTGCAGGGATGAGGATGCTGCAGGGATGGGGATGCTGCAGGGATGAGGATGCTGCGAGGATGAGGATGCTGCAGGGATGGGGATGCTGCAGGAATGAGGATGCCGCAGGAATGAAGATGCTGCATGGAGGAGCAGGATGCTGGGAGCAGGAGGAATGCTCTGGGAACGAGGGCACCGTGGGCACGAGCAAGCATCACTCACCCCTCGACAAACGTGCGACTGGCGAGGCGTATGCAGTGTTCCCACAGCACATTGTAGGCTTCCTTCGGTATGGGCACGCGCTTCGACACCTCCGCTAGCCTCATACTGAACACCTGGAACTCCTGAAACAAGCGACACCGCCGTCAGTCTCCCAAACTGTGTACTCAATAAAGGGGGCGCCACCTCCTGTTCATGTGAGATGAACAAGTGATGCTGCCTGTATACTCAACGAAGGGGTGAGGCGCCACCTACAATCACTTGAGAATAGCAGCCGAACCACGGAAACAGTGGACGAAACATCAATGTACTTTAAAGGGATCCTTTACTCTAGGTTCTAGGGCTATTTTTCAGTTAATTTAGGTTAAAATTATGCTACATAAAAAGTTTCATGGTTCAATCACCATTAGAAATTTTGTTTGTTAATGTTTTAAAACTAACGACTACAGTTTGATTACAACGACGGTGGCGCCACTCAAAGCGCACGATCTGAAAAGTTGCGCAAAACGACTTTTCAGTCAAGGGCTACAGACCGAGGGTGTTTCTTATTTATTAATTTAAAAGCAAAATGATTGTAATATCTTATAAATGACATATAGTTTCAGTTACATTATGGATAAATTTGTCCTAAAGTGAACATCGTTCGGTTAAATAGCATTTAGGTATAAATATAATTGCACCATTGTGATTAGCCCTCGGTCTGTAACATGCAAAATATATTGGGTGGCAGCACGGTCTCGGGTGTCACTGGCGCGCCATTAAAATTTCATAGCGTTGATGTGTAATTAATTATAACAATTAAATTAGGTATCTGGTAACAAGTACGTGTGGGTATAGATGATTTGTTATACAGTAAGTACAGTTGTATGCAGTAAAATCCTAGAGTCTAGCATCCCTTTAAACATAGTTGTAGAAAGACGAAAGAGGAGTATAGGCAGCTTCAAAATTTTAGCATGTGCAGGTGTGCAACCTGCACGGCCTAGATTGCAGGAAGGCTCCTCCCAAATAGAGCCACTACAATTACATGTTAAAGTGATTACGTCACCGTAAATAGTAATAATAAAAAATATATTTCCACTTTTTCACAAAATGTAAGTAATTCTGTTCACTTTTTATGGTTAAATTGCTGCATTATACTTCCTATTTTACTATATTGTTCGATGTAAACATACACTCATTACTCATACATAGACCATAGCAAGCAATTAATGTCAGGATCATAATATCAAATCGTCCAGGTTTTTTGGATTTTTAACTAGTTGAGAAACAATCTTATCAGGTAAGAATTTGATGATACATTTAGTCCCGTTAGTACTTACTTTTAATGTCAAGTATTGGCAACAAATTTTTTACCAAATACACCATTGTCACGTCGTGACATAGTCAATTTAAGCTGTGTAACCTCGTGCAGCGTCCACTCACCCTTAGGACAACATCGACGTATGTGTTGTGCTGAGACATGATCTCCTTGATTTCCCACTTCAGTGCTGCAATCTGTTGATGAACCTGCTCATAATCCACGGCGTGAACGGCGACTATTTGGTAGACGGGTTTTCTCAGCTCCGTGGCTGTGCTCACAGTCTGCAAGAGCAAGCAACTGACATCCAACATGCGTCGAAAATACTTAGGATACCGATCGCTAGTAGTTTGTGTACGCCGTCGTTGCAGAAATAGAATCGTGAACATTTCCTTGTTCATGCCACGCACCTGCGAGTAGAATTGCTGCAGAAATGCCTTCTTTTGTGGCGGAATCACCGCCTCCAGACATGGCTGCAAAAACTCGAACTGGGTTGCCAGATACACTCTGAAAATAAGCCAATGAATCGAATCGACCATCAATATACCATATACAAAAACACACTGTATATTATGCAAACGAGATTGTATGTATAGTTAAATACCTAGAAAACGAATCACGAAATATATGTAATAATTAATTCGTGCAATAGACAGGTAAGCGCGTCAGCCTCAGGTAAGCATGCCAGACTCAGGTAAGCGTGTCAGCCTCAGGTAAGCTCGTCAACCTCAGGTAAGCACACCAGCCTCAGGTAAGCATGCCAGCCTCAGGTAAGCTCGTCAACCTCAGGTAAGCATGCCAGCCTCAGGTCAGCTAGTTGTGTAGTGAGGCATATATGTGCTTATGGTCTCTGTGAATAAAACTATTTGTCAGAGTGAGATACGCGCACCGCCCTTGCATATTATTGCTAGGTATGTCGAGCTTGATCAGTCCATACGTTTTCCATTCGTGTACGTCAAATTGTGCACCTTGCAGTACGTGTTGCGAGGCAGCATTTTTGGAATGTTCATTACGTACAAGTACCTGCCAATCACTCGAGAGCGATAGGTTAAATTAAGGATGAAAATCGAGATGTCGGTTGTAATTATATGTGAATGGCCGAGAGGGAACGGCCCAGTGGACGATGAGCTTCAGTGAAAGAGAAGTAGTGAGGGCGGCCATGTTGCATGTGAGATTGCTGATGTGTGGCCCTTGCGTGCTGCAGGTGATGATGGTGTCAGAGGGACAATATAGTTACTATGTGAACCAGGATGGAAGTGGCGACCAGGCTCAACCAACCTAGGCTCAACCAACCTAGCGAAAATGCGAACCAACCAACCAACCAACCAACCAACCAACCTAGCCCTCTCTCGCTCCCTCTTTGTCCAGCATTGATTTGATTTTGTTAATTATCGAAATAAATAAATCAAAAAAATAAATCAAAATCAAATCAATGCTGGACAAAGAGGGAGCGAGAGAGGGCGGGAGAGTCGGGTGTCAAGCAGTGAGACTATTAATCTTGTAGGATCAATACGCTCATGACTTCAGGAGAAAATGTTTTATTATTTTAACGATGTATATTTTGTGTATAACTCATCAGAGAAACTCAATGTGGATATAATATTTAATAAACTATGCATTTCTGTTGTTCAGCCCTTCATATTTACAATTTTTTTAGTATTTAGTTGTGAGATTTGCCAGTATTATACGTATTAATGACAGCACAATGCTATAGATAATGTACAATGCTATCATTAAAGTTATGCCTAGACAGTACATAAAGTAGATATGGTACATATAGTACATGCAGTAGACAGTAGATTACAAACGCAATCATCGAGCTAATATCGATTTCAAAACTCCTGTTACGGCCAGTCAATTTTCTGGTGAAATCGGATTGTGTGAAGTGTTGGCGTTAGACTTCATTATTTTGTATTTGTTGGTTTTTACAATCGTGCAGTTCATTCATTATAGTAAAAACCAATTTGTATTATTTTAGAAATTGACTATTAGTGAATCAGTGCTAAAATTGAATCGTGCTCAATAATGTGATTGCGTTTGGTTTGTATATAATATATAATGTTCACTACAGTTTGTGACGTATTCCTCGTAGTATATGGTTATTTTCCAACAATTAGGGGTATCCCCTCTCCCTGCAGTCAGGGTCTGTAAGTTTAACAGAAATATTGTTTTACAAGAAATAATTTAGAAATACAGAAATAACCTTTCCATAATTTATTACATGTCTACGTGATTACTTACAATGTGCGTCGTCTTATCTTACATGTCATTTGTGAGCTTACAATATATACAGAGTAGGATTGCGTTACTAATGCCCTGAACATATACAATCAGGACTGTCTGTGCGTTCGATGTTACCATTCATAATGTCAAATATACTTTTCACTATAAACACATGGATAAGCTACGTTTTTTGTTCCATAGGTAATTCTTGTTTCTTTGCATGGCCGGCTTGCTCTTCCTTGCTTACTTACAACCGGAAACACAGAGTTCATCATACGTCTTGTAACACTAACAACAGAACGTTCATATCACAATCACTGCTGCCGCTTTCAGCAATTCAGATTCCCGCAAATAAATCGTAGCAAGAGATATGCAAGAGTTCAATACTTCAACTAAGACTACCAATCAACACAACCTAGAGAAAACTGAACTTTGAAGTGCTTTTGAATGCACCTCATTAGATTAGGATCAGTCGAGCACTTCATCTCTTATCTGCAGTACTACTAATGAACAGTGATGGAATACGATTTGTGAATAACACAATTCCAAACGGTGCCATACATGTCAACAAACGACAACACATGTCGAAAGGATGCAGCGCACGTTATGAAAAAACACGGTTAGCCAACTTTAGAAAATCGACGTTGAATACATATAAAGTTATTGCTCTCAAACTGTGATACAGCTCATTATAAGATGGGTGTGACAGTGACACCCATAAGATAACAGTGACATGATAAGATGGGTGTTTCTTACTATAGCTTACTATTGCACCGAGCTTCATTTGTGGCAAGAGCTGTGTTGACAGCAGTTAAACACATGTAGACTAACAGAGAGCCACAGAGGAAGAGGGAATTTCACTTGTAAATAACACCTTGCCATAGCTGTCACACAGTGGTCACCTCCTGCTGTAAACTCACACCAGTCTTCTTGTGTCGTGACACCACACCGGTCACCTCATGTCGTGGCATCATACGCCATGTCACTACCTCCGCTATGTGTCAATGCATATTGACAGGATACTGGGAGCTGTGGTAAGGTAGTAGTAGCAGCAGCAGTAGCATCAGCAGCAGCAGCATCAGCAGCAGCAGCAGCAGCAGCAGCAGCAGCAGCAGCAGCAGCATTGTCGTCAATGTTATCGCCTTGCCTTGTCAGTCTCTTCTATAATCGAGATGATCTTGTGTCTGCTCTTCTTGCTTAGATGGGTGACGCAGTTGACAAGTGCTGACAACTGCCTGCTGTTATACTCCTGTAATGACAAAGCGGCACCAGTCCACGTTTAGGGTTCACCCAACAGTATATAACATCCAACGTGTACTGATATAGTAGACGCTACTAATATGTAAGTTATACCATCTAATGGTACCTCACAGCGAAAACAGCTTAGCACAGCATGTAGTCAGTCCTGTATGTAGCATGTAGCATGTAGCATGTAGCATGTAGCATGTAGCATGTAGCATGTAGCATGTAGCATGTAGTTTGTAGCATGTAATTGTAGCATGTAGCATGTAGCATGTAGCATGTAGCATGTAGCATGTAGCATGTAGCATGTAGCATGTAGCATGTAGCATGTAGTCCTGTACTAAGCTATCCTGCAACGCATGTCGACCTACCTTGTGCTCTCTAACCCACTGCTCCATCACAGAGTCAGGGAGGTAATACGCTTTAATGTATCCCTCCACATAATCTCGATCTGGAATCGGCCTAAAACACACAGTGTGACAGCATGAACCAACGCGGGGATATATGGCATACGTGGCAATAGAAGTTATCAAGGAAAGTACCTTTTACAATTTTAGACCAAGCAAAATCCCTTCTACTCATAAATCACCGTTTCGGAAATAGGTTAACACACTTATTTTCTACAGATTTGCACGATACCGTACTAGTGATTGAATTAAAATCAGCTATGCTCAACAGATAACCTGACACCAACTGAAAAATGAACCTGAGAAACGAATGCACTACAAAATGTCAATACGATGTAGGGAGTAATTTAATTGCATCCACGTACGAACTATAGATTTTGCTACAGGTTTTATTTAGAGCTGTACCTCAGATCTGTTAGTTTCTCTAGCTTCATAAGAAACTGCTGAAAATCTAGTTGCATGAGGGCTCTGCCTTCGTTACTGCACTTCTTCGCGCAAGCATACCTAAAAAAGAAAGTACAATTTAATCGACAAAACAAATGAAATCAGTACACAGCACTAAACAGGCCGTAGTTGGCACTATGTAGTTAGGTACGGTATTATATTCAACATACTGATAGCTGTAGTATCTATGAAGCCTTCACGGATGCTGAAGCTGCAGGGATAATAAAGATGAGGAATGACAATGCTGCGGGGATGAGGATGCTGCAGGGATGAGGATGCTGCAGGGATGAGGATGCTGCAGGGATGAGGATGCTGCAGGGATGAGGATGCTGCAGGGATGAGGATGCTGGGGATGAGGATGCTGCAGGGATGAGGATGCTGGGGGAGGGATGCTGGGGGAGGGTGCTGGGTGAGGATGCTGGGGATGAGGATGCTGCAGGGATGAGGATGCTGGGGGAGGGATGCTGGGGGAGGGTGCTGGGTGAGGATGCTGGGGATGAGGATGCTGCAGGGATGAGGATACTGCAGGGAGGAGGATACTGCATG